AATAAAAGGAAAATGAACAATTGGACCACCTAATGGAGCAGGTGGCACAAAAGTATGCCAGCCAATCTATTGGGCCTTGCCCAATAGGATCTTAACCCAACTTTTCTCCTTTAGTGTCTATATTGCAAACACATAACAGTGCATGTTATACGTGACTGTGTCAAGAGCGGATGCAATAGAAACTTCGAACCAAGCTTAAACTTTGCTAAACTTTAATGAGCATGATCAGGACTTTGCACCAGTCAAGCTTCAATAGGATGCCCAAGGGAGCACCAGAAAACATACACAAACCATACCCTTGACATTCAGAAAACCTTCAAGGGAGTATCTTTCACACAACTCGTCAACTTTCTCTGAGTAACCAGCCTCCATTGCCAGGTAAACCTTAAAAGAAAAATCTACAAGTTTGAGTACCATATTTATAAAGCTAAAAAGGAAAAACCAAAGAAGACACATAAGATACAGGTTCACCATCATTTTTCCAAATAATGAAAGCAACACAGCTATAAATGTGGTCACCCTTCTTTTCAACAGATTACCAAAAGAAACAATTGGATTCTTCCGAACTTACTTGCTTATCCTATCTCATTAACTTTTTTAATTGTTTTGATAAAGTTTTTATCACCACCAGACATTGTAATCAATGCTTGTATTGACATGTCTGACATGATACTTTAAGAAAACGAAAGCTAAACTACAAGGAATGCATGTAAAATAGGTGAACATAGTAGACAGTGTATCGCCAACCCAAATATACCTTGTTCAAAGAATTTCAGACTAAAAAGAAGAAAAAAATCACTAGCCGGAAAAACACTACTGAAAGTAAGTTTCAAGATTTGGTGACACAATATTATGCTGAATATAGTGAAACCATGCATATCCTACATAATAAAGCTCTCATCTGCAGCAATTATGCAATGCACAGAAATCATGCATGTCATGATTGATTCAAGAACTCCTTACCAAATACTCAAGAAGTTGTTTATCACCATGCGTCTTTGCCTCAGCAAGATCCCATAATGCCTTTTCTGCTAACTTCTTCAATGAGCTGCCAGTCAGTGCAATGTTCTCGTCACTAAAAAACAAAATTTTGAGAGAAAATAAAGTACGCTCTGGGCATTAAAAGTCAATCAATAAACCTTTCTTTGCACTTGTGATATACATCAGGAAATTCCTGCTTCAAATCGTTTTTCTTTATTGTTTCGTAAGCCTGCTTTAGCATATTCTGATCAACATACTCCTGAACAAGAGCACATAGCATTGATTTCCCCATAAATGTTGCCCACTTTTCAGCTGCTCTAGATTGTTTGTTCTGCATCATTTTGACAAGAAAAGACTGTCCGGACTGCCGGATAGAAAAGTGTTCTAATAAACTGGCTGCTGTCATATATGATTGGGAATCTATCAATTTAAAAATATAATCTTGAACAAGTGTTTTTGCCGTGTCAGGCTTATAATCATCTTGGACATTCAACTGGCATAAGGCTTTGTCGACATCTGCCAACTTGACATCAAAAACTTCTAGTATTTTCACTACTATCCTCTCATCATGGTCAACCAAGCCTCCCACAATATCCAAAAATAACCGGGCTGCTATAACTTTTGCTTTCAAGGTGTCCTCTAAGGTGGGAGCTCGCTTTAAAAAGCGACGAAGAGCAGATATAATCAAGTGGCTGAAACCTTCACAGTGCAATCCAAATATTGGCAGGACATAGAGGCACCAAACAACAAAAGTAGCAGGCCCTGGTTGGGGAGAATTCTCTAGTGCATGATAGACCTTTTGCTGAAGAATTCTGAATTTATTTGTTGCCTTGCATGTACCTGTCATGTTATAGTTGGGAATCATGGACTAGAAAGCAGTCAATTTTACAACTAAAGTAAAACAGAAGGCAATCATTAATAGAAGATGCATTACAAAGCCAGCCAGACAAGATTTGCTTCCAATTCAAATAGAAAAAAAAAATTATGCAAGCAAATGACTACCCACAACATTAAAATAAACCAATCGAGCAATAACTTCCACAAAGAAAAAGAAAAGATATCTTACCATGAGCATAACATTCTTTCAGAAGGTATAGGAATACTACTGGAGAAGTGTAGGTTAAATCAGAAAACGTATGAACACTTATGGTTAATTTTTTATCAATTTTTCCTTTATCATCATGTAACTCCACAACTCCCTCCTCTATGCCCATATCAAAGCATATGCCAATAATCCTACACACACACAAAGAAAAACACATAAATTGGCGTAACGATAGAAAATGATAAACAAAAACCTATAAATTAACAAATCATTTCCATTCACCAAGCCCAATAATGGAGCTAAGGTCAAACAATTTATTCATGGCTGAATTTTTCTATTCCAAGCATAAAAAATCAAAACGTATCATTTACAATAAAGCTGGGTGAGAGGAAAAAAAAAAAAGGCCTCCTGTACCAAAACTAAAAATAGTTACAAATTGGAATTAACATTATTATATTATTTTAAAATTTTCAATTTTCACTTTATAACTTTTCTAATTCTTCTCAACAAACCAACAAAGTTTTGAGGCTCATACAACTTAATTGAACTCCAGTTTTGAGTCTTTCATCATTCTTTATTTTATATACATGAACACTCAAATTTTATTTATTTTCCTCGTCTTTCTCAGCAACCAAACAGATATCACAAAATAATCAAAACAACAATCACAGCGAAAACTAATAAAAATATCGCATTCAATCAAAATCTGACACTTTCTTCCTCTCTTCACACACTATTAACCTCTTTAATCACCAAAGAGGTAAAAAAGAAAAAAATAAAAAATAACGTAGCCTAACGCCGAGTAATGCAAGAGCCGAAGTTCTCGCTTTCTATAAGAAAACAAATACGAGAAAGGGATTGGAAAAAAATGTTTCCACTTTCCTTCGTTTTCTTTCACTCTCTCTCTCGTTTTCTCCGTAACTAAACAGTGAGCGGGTGAGTGCAGCAGGAAAACAAACTTACCGGTGTCCGTGAGATTTCTAGATTTTTCGGCTCTCTCAGTCTGAAATGCGAATCTGTTTTTGCCTCTTTTAGGCGGTCGAGTGTTTGTTATAAAGTCAGAGAACCCGGGGAGGTAAGAAAAAGTAACGGGCGAAAACAATTTTATTTTTATTTTTATTTTATTTTATTTGTGCAAACCAGGGCGTAACGCTCTGGAGAAATAAATTAACCGTGTTAAAATCGACCCAGTCATTTATAATACAAAAACAAATATTAAAAAACTATAAAGAGTTCACTAATAATCTAGTTACTTCAATCCCGGATTGTGGTTTTTTGATTATTAATTAAAAATTAGTAAATTAGTCAGATGATTATGATTATTTTGATCAACGTGCTTTTTTTAATGCTAGGAATATTTAGTTATACATTAATTATACAATTTAACAACCGTGTATTTAATAATTTTTTAAAGTATATTTAATTTTTAATAAATTTTTTATTAATATAATTATCTAACCAGTATATCTTAATTAATTTTATAAGTTTTAAAATTAATAATTATATAAATTTTTAATGATATTAAAATTTATAAAACTTAAATCAATTACAATAATCTTAAAAAGTAAAACTATCAATTAAAATGCACTGGTAGGAAGAAAAAAACAACCTTAATTATAAGATCCCAAACTCAACTAATGTCTTCAATGTATGAGAAAAACAAGCAAGGGAAAATGTAGCAATGGCTCGCACGGACCTTGAAGAGCCACACCTTGAAGTTCGACCTAAGAAATCAAGCAAGGGATAATATATTATTCAACGAAAGGATGGATCAACTTCAACAAACAAACGTGTATGGTTTATATAATAAAAAAACATGCAGGCTTCGCATGTTGCCAAACTTTAAGAAATAAAGGGGGGGGGGGGGGGCTAAATTGCATAAGTTGACTCCTTTTGTTATTTTAATTATTGAACAATCATGATGTTGAGAGAATACTATAGCGTTTGGACTGGCGCGTCAAGTAATAAAGTTGGGGATGTTTAGAAATATAATTATAATTATTTTTTTATTTTAAAATATATTAAAATAATATTTTATTATTAACTTTTAAAAATTATTTCTAATATCAACATGTTTAGATAACCTAAAAAAATAAAAAATAAATAATTTTTTTAAAAAATAAATTTTATCTAATCTTATTTGAATTGTGATACCAAACAGGAAGTAAATACAAACCAGTAAACTTATGGGTTGAATAGGTTTCATTTAAAAATAGTTAAAATAACCTGTTTTAAAAAAATAAAAATCAAACTAAATTTTAATTGAAATGATTAAATTATAAGTTAGCTTTTTGTATCAATTGAGTCTTACTATATCAATTTTTTTCTTAAAAAATTCAACACATATCAGATAGGTTAACTCACTTTGCTAGACTAACCTTTTGGCTCTTCCTCTTACTTTTTTTTTTTAAAAATAAGGAGAAAATTTCGTTTTATTCGAGATCTTTATAACCTTTCGCTAGACTAACCTTTTGGCTCTTCCTCTTATTTAAAAAAAAAAAAAAATTAAGGAGAAAATTTCGTTTTATTAGAGATCTTTATAACCTTTCGGCCTGCAATTTCGTGCTACTTGTCACTCTTCAAATCAGTGGACCATCCGGTAGTTATTAAATGAAGCAGACTTTTCGATTCAGTGACTCTCAATCCAAAACCATGCCCAGCCCATATTATTCTTCAAACTGGTTTGCAAGTTGCTCTAAATTGATATTATTTTAATTTTTTTAAATTTAAAATAAAGTTGTTTTATGTTAAAAAATATAAAAGGAAAGCAATACAGAGTCAACAATCAACCTATAAACTGATTAGGTCCAACAATTATGATGCAGCTAGCGCGTGAGATCCAGATGGTATAGGGATTTGGATCTGTTGATAAAGGGGTACAAGCCCACAAAAAGAACATATGCTTGTTCTTGTAGGGCTCGGCCTAGTAATCATAAACAAGGGTTTATTCAAGCATGTCATGAACGCTTAGCTATTTTGAGCACCAAGAACCATATTTGTTATTTTTATTAACAAGAAAAAGTTGAAGAACACAGAAAATTATAATTCCCTGAATGCAAACTGAACTTTCTTCCATCTATCCATAATCTTTCCTCATCAAGAGTAGGGCTAACTGGCTTACTTCACATGCAGCTATTACAAGGACTTTTGTGCGGAGTGGAAATTACAAAAGCATAAAAGACAGGGCAGCAGATGAATTTCTGCTGCAATCCGGCCAAGTTATCAAAGACAGGTGCCTCTGATTTAAGGGTTTGAATCAAGCTCAAACAATGTGATTTCAAAGTCGAGCATTTCTAGCACATATGAAAGATCAAAGCTTCCTCCATCACAAACCACAAGGGCCTCCCACACCTCCACTACAAGGCATTCTTCTACAAACTTGGAAGCACACCCCCATGTTTCTGAAGGATTCTGAATCTGAGTACAACATTCCCCAAACCCTCTTGTGGAGGATTCTGCCCCTGGTTTGGAATAGACTGCTCACTCTTTTTTTTTTTTTTTCTCCATGTGTATTTTCAAGCCATGTTGCTGCTTGGAGAAGGCAGAAAGTGTAAAAAGCAACTTTTAGCCAGGAAGATCATGAAGTTTCTCTCCTGGAAGGCAGGCCAAGCAATGACAAACACCAGCTGAACTTCCTCCACTTCCATAGAAACTGTTGCCTTCCCAGCTTCTCTTTGAAGGTCAAGGGAGCCATATTTTGTGAGAGTAGCACCGATGGTCTGTCCGGCAACTAGTCTGCTGCCCAGGGATAGCTAGAAGGATGTGAAATAGGGGCCGACCAGGAGGCTGGTCCGCTACATACAATGTCCAGCTGTGGCCCCTTCTAACTAAATTTTCTCTAGTTAGCTGAATATCCAAATAAAGCTCTCCAAATAAAGGCCTTTTACTTCGAGTGGTAGATTAACTTTCCAAGGAGATTTTCACCATACAGAACACAAAGAATACGAACTTGAGGTTGAGTTACCATCAGATTTAGAACAACAACAAATGAACAATGTTGACGTGCCACCAGGTACCATTTGTTCTCAAGGTAATCGACTGGGAATCACTGATGCAACCCGGTCAATGAGCTATGTTTGGCATCTATTCTGGCAACACTTCCAACAATAAATTTTGCTGGAATACCTGAATAGGGGTAAGGATTTGCATTTTTAATCAGAAGGGTTTGTTTTAAAAGTAATCAAATTAATTTTAGGCTGAAAAAACTTACAATTTTGAAGTGTTCCAACTCATTTCTTAGTTCTTTCCCCATGTCTTCAGGCAGAGGAAAGCCAGCTATGGCCCCTGCTTCCCTGAATATCTACAGTTAAATTTCCGTCAGCACACCATAAATGATATTTGCCAAAGGCAGCACCTGAGAACGCGATGGATGGCTATGACAGCAAACTTCAAACAAAAAATGGAAACTTCATGTGTATGGGTGTACGAGAGACCATTCGATACAATATAGACACATTCTGACACAAACAACTGACAATAATTGCATGAGTAACAGTGCAGAATAAGTGTGTGGGGTACTGCAAGATATAAAGCAAATGTACAAATTAGACTTTTCTTTTTCCAACCAAACCAATCCTCCTTGTCAAAATAATTTTGGTATCACTCTTGCTCCATTTAAATTAATTTCCAGCTCTTGTTCAGAATCCCCCCCCACCCCCACAAAAAAAAAAAAAAATCATCACTTATGTAGGTAGCTACTCATTCCCAAGATCAGAACATTCTAGATGCTCATTTCATAAGTTGACAAAGCTTACCAGTTTGAACCCTTCTTGAGAATGCAGAAATTCCATATCTTGGAAGTTCAAACCATCACTCTGCTGTAATACAACTGATAACCGTATGATTATACAAAGAACTCTGAATTTCTGCTTTAACTGAAATCAACACAGAAAAACATGTTAGATTAAATTGCAAGCGCGTACAACTCTTCACTACTGGAAAGAATGAAGGCAGTTATGCAGGAGCATACAGCATATAAGATACCTCTTCAGCAAACTCTTGTAATGAGCCTCCATCAAATTTAGGGAATTTCTTCCTGTGATGTCTTGTAAGCAGCGCTATTAACTATAAAATAATCTTTTATCAGTACAGAGAGCATTCTCAGATGTGCACATTGTGGACAAAGCATGATCAACAGGTAGATACTCTTACCTTGACTTCTTCAGCACTGTATCCTTGAAGATGATTTCCATTCTACAAAATATGGTAAAGTTGGTCAGGAACAAAGTTTAACTAATAGAGAACAATAACTCTCTATACCATGCAGGACGTTCAAAAGTAGAAAAATAGCAGTTCTCAACGCAAATTATTGAGAACTAGACTTCATAGAAATTGCGGAAACACGATTCAAACTGTATCCAACTACATTTCATAGCCACATTCCACCGAGTAGGTGAATATATTGCACCCATGCAACATTATTGTGACATTGTAAAAGCATTGAGCTCTGCACATCATGCTCATGAAAAGAGCATAGAACTCACCGTGATAATGTGATAAGACTGCTTGTGGTAACCCTTTTTACCAGTGATGAGCCCTATATTGTGAAGTAAACAAGCAGCTTGAAGACATTCAAGATCCTTTACATCCAAGAAGACATTAATTTGATTGCCAGCAACCTCGGCCCATTTTCTCAAGCCCTCAAAGATCTCCTGTAGAAATCATCAAGTAATTCATCTCATCCAACAATCCTTTCCTATTCTAATAGAATAATAGAATATCTAAAAGCTGAAGTTTAAGTTTGTTTCTCATTTGGCGCTAATGCTTGAATTAAAACTCAAAAGTCCAAAACCGACAGACAATAGAAATGACGCTGCATCAAATTATTCTCACCTAGTAACAACAACGAACACATTTAAGCCACAATGAAGTACATTCAGATTGGTACGCAGGCAGCTAAATCTAGCATTTACGCAGGCAGCTAAATCTAGCATTTTCTTCATCATTCAACAAGAAATTAACTTCCACTGTAATGAATGTTTCAAGAAAGTAAACAAACACAGGAACTTCATAATACCTTGGCAATGCTAGAACATTGTGCAGCAGATTTAATTCCTTTCTTCCCGCTAAACCTTGTTGCAAGCCTTACAGCAGAATGCCACCTCGCATTCGCATTCAAATCATAGCCCTCAAAAACCTTAGACAACGTTTCAGCAATAACACCCTCTCCTAATGCATACCCAGAAACCTCCATCTCCTCAATTCCAACCGCCTCAAATATTTCCTCCAATAACACAGAACCAGCAACAATAAACTCTGATCTCCTCTTGAAAAACCCATCTCTTTTAACCCTCTCTTCCTCGCCTTCTCTACACACTCTCTCAGCAACACCACTCAATTCCCCTCGACTAAACTTCCACTCCCTCTTACAATCCCTTAACAAAACCTCATTACCCTCGACACCCTCTTTCCCATAACCATTGAACACAGCCCTTTCAATAGCTCTAATAGTCCCCGACGTCCCAACAACAACCTCTATACCACCAAAATCCTTAACTTTCTCAACTAACTCAGATTCCTTGATAACTAACTTGACAAACTCTCTCATTTCCATCAAGTTCCAATCTTTACCAAACTTCTGAGTCAATCCCACATGACCCAACTTCAAAGACACCCCCAAAACAACATTCCCTCTTTCCCCAATCACAAACTCAGTAGACCCACCTCCAATATCAATCACCAAAACTCTTTTATCAAAAACTGGCAAAAACTGAAGCACACCCAGATAAACAAACCTTGCCTCCTCTTCACCAGACAAAACAGAAACTTCAAAGCCAATTGATTCAAGAACTGATCTTTTGAAGTCAAAAGCATTACTTGCTTCACGTACAGTAGCAGTGGCAACACATATTGCCTGATGGGGGGGGATTTTGTTGGCTTTGAGAACTTGATTGAATCTTTTAAGGCAAGTTACAGCTCTAAAAAGGGATTCTTTGGAGATTGACGAAGAAAAGTCACGACCAAGACAAACTGGGTCTTTATGGCGATCAATAGTAAGGAATTTTCCTGTTTTGTCTGTCTGGATTATTAGCATTTTGAAGGAGTTCGTTCCCATGTCTATTGAAGCAAAGAGATTGTTTGATAGGGTCATGTTTTGTCTGGTTTTTGGTGGGTTTTTTGAGTTCTTTTTTAGATTTCCTTTGTGGATTTTATTGATTTTGATCTAAGGGGAAGAGGAAGGGG